CGATAGTTGCAACTAGAAAAAATCTAGTAATCGCCCAATTACTAGATTTCCACTGTCGTTACACAGTAGTTGCAATCGAGTAAAAATCTAGTAATCTAGATGAATCGGGCGATACTAGATTTTTTTTTGACGCTTGGGATGCTCAACGAGTCAGGAATCCCGTGGGAGTTTTGTCTGGAGTCTCGACTAGGGTTCTTACTTCATAGTTGTGATGCACAACGAAAACTTTGCTGCAGAGAAATACAGACGTATGTGTATAAAAAAATATTTAATACAAATGAAATTCGTTCAACTCGATTTAAAAATCGTTCTCGATTAAATTTTACAAAGAGCACGCAAAAACTCACCCAAAATACGGTGTGAGAGAACGATGTGAGAAGTTTAGGGAAACTTCGACGATCGGTTGTCTGATGGCAAACGATTTTAATCTGGTTTTTTAATCGTTTACTTACTACAAATTGCTGAAATCTCCTATATCTATCTATACTTCAGACAGAAAATAGAATAAGCTGCATACTGGCGTCATCTATAGTATTGTTTTCAAAATATCGTTTTTAGCCGAAATTTGACTAGACTTTCTTCTAAAACATATTTTTAACGTTAAAAACTTTTTTTAAAGCCATTTTGACGTAGAGACTCAAGTTATAAAATGTTCAGTGGTGAAAAAGTGATTTTAGAACGAAGTGATTTTAGCTTCATATGACCTTCTGTTTCATTTTAACTTATCTTTCCTTCAACATCTTCACCCATATAATAAAAAGAAATCGTTAACTTGTACGTAGGGAATGTGCGAACGTTGATTTCTTGCCATTGTAGCTTATTCTGACTGTGCTTAAAGTGAAGTAGTCTTCGCTCGTGTGATTTAGTTCTCGATTTAGTCGTGTTTCGCCGTTCAAACGCCAGCGAAAAAATGTTGGACTTTTACCACTTTTCTGTCATTTACTTTATTTTTTTCTCTATTTAGGAAAGTTTGTCAATAAATAAGTTTGTAGATGTTACTTTTCCTGCACCAACCTGTCTTCTTCTCTCTTGCACCTTTATGGATTCAGAGAAAACAAATATTCAAGGCCTTTGAAGCTTGTAAAAGTAAACAATCATGTGAACACGCTCAATTAAGAAAAATATAGCAATTCTCTTATAAATCTTCATTACATATTTTATCCTCTTGTGCATTCACTCAAAAGCTCACAAACAGTTCTTTTATGATATAGCAATTTCTAAAAACTTGAAAGAGAAAACACTAATAGCCATTTTATTCTCAATTCTAGATTAACACCAACTGGAGTATGACAGATCAATCATCTGAAAAAGAAACAACAGTCACAGTTGATAGCGAAACGAAATCTACTGATAATGGCGTTCCCTCTACAACAACCACAACAGCAATCTCTACAGAATCCAAAACCAAAAAGAAGAAAGATAAAAGTGGAATTGCTACAGTAAAAACGTCGGCAACGGCCGATAACGATATAGCTACTGCCTCTGGCGGATCCTTGTCGTTAACTGCTAATAACAAAACAGATAATGTGAGTTTCTTCTTCTCTATCAGCATTTCTTCATCTATTATTTGTCTATTTACTTCAAGGAAGCTACATCTCAAACAATGAAATCACTTCTGAAAATGTCACTAGCTGAACGTGCACATAGTGCTCCGAAATCAGATGAAGAATTATCGAAACAAGAATGGAAGTTTTGGCAAACTCAACCAGTACCACGATTAGGTAAATCTTTATAGAGATGCTTAAATCAGAAATGGATGCGTCACCACTTTTTGGAATCTGAGTCTCGTCTAAGTTCAAGTCACGTCAGAAACTGACTCGAGTCAGTGGCGAACCCAGTCGATAGGACAGCAAATTAAAAATTTTTGTGCACCAAAAAGAAATTTTTTCCCCTAGAACGGACTCAAAAAATAAAAATGGCGTGCGTCTTGAATAATTTTCAAAGAGTAAAATCTTCACGTATCTATTTTTTTAAAAAGAGCTGTTAACGCGTATCTATTGGTTTAAGAATTCGTATGTTGTTTATTTCCTTTTGCTTTATCTAAAAGTTGGTACTTATAACTACATAACAAAACATTTTTTCTTAACTAATTTACCAGTATTCAATCTTTTCCTGTGACAAGATGGCATTTATCGAACAATCTCTAGGACTTGGGTCGATTCGATTTCGAAATCATGACTAATAATTGCTCATCTCTGGCTTAAACTTCCTTTGGTTCTATAAAATGTGTTTATCTTAGGAAGCAAAATTCAAGATAATAATGGACCAGTGGAAGAAAATAAACCACAATCAGAAATTCGACAAGAACCATATAAACTTCCTGATGGATTCGTATGGGAAGATATTGATATACTAAATGATAATCAGGTTGTAATGTCTTATTTGATTTTTTTTAAATTAATCTTATTTGTCTGATTTCTGTTTAGCTTCATGAACTTTATGTATTACTAAATGAGAACTATGTTGAAGATGATGATAATATGTTTCGATTTGATTATTCAATGCCATTTCTAAGATGGTAAATGGCTTCTATTGTCTTTTTTTGAAACATAAAACTGTATAATAGAAACGAATCATCTAAAAAAAGTAAAGATCATTTCTATAATTGGAAAATTGACAAAGGAACTGCGTGTAAATCGATGATTATGTTAAATTATTTTATTTTCAGGAACCTTGTCATATGGAGAATCTATATATAAGTAGTTTCCTTCGATTGTTTAAGGGCTTTATGCGCGCCGGGATGGATTCGTGAATGGCATGTTGCTGTTCGCGTAATAAAAAGTAGGAAAATGGTTGGTTTTATTAGTGCTGTACCAATAAAAATGCATGTTTATGATAAGTAAGTTGATTAATTTTTAAATTGCAGTCATACATTATTTTCTTATCATTCTCTTTTCAGAGAAGTACCAATGGTTGAAATAAACTTTTTATGTGTTCATAAAAAATTACGTTTAAAACGGATGGCACCTGTATTAATTAAGGAGATAACGCGTCGTGTCAATTTTCAAGGCATATTTCAAGCAGCATATACAGCTGGGTAAGACATTTTTCTTTTAATTTATTATTTATGCTGATTTGTATGAATGTCTATTATTTTCTATTTATTATAGTGTCATACTACCTGGTCTCGTTGCAAAATGTAGGTCGGTGTTGATTATTATTTTATTCTGTTTTTCAGTTTTGAAAAATCGCATGATTTTAGATACTGGCATCGTTCTTTGAATGTGAAAAAACTCTTAGCTGTTGAATTTTCACATCTTGCACGAAATATGACATTGCAACGAACACAGAAATTATACAGATTACCTGAAGTAAGTAAACAGACAAACGTTGGAATTTTCAGACTAATCTATCACCAGATATGATATACACAATTGGGTTTTTTCTGAGATCACTAATAAATAACTATCAAAGATATTCCGTCTAAGTAATAAAAAGAATTGTTTTGATAATCTATTCAATTATGATTATTGTTATTGTTAATATTCTAGGCTACTCAAATAAAAGGCTTTCGTGAAATGCGTGATGAAGATATACCTCAGGCATGGACTTTACTAACTCAAGTATGTGTACAACCTTTTATTTAACTATTTTTTAATTATTTTTCTATTTTTTCAGTATTTAAAAAAGTTCGATTTGGCACCCATATTCGCTAAACATGAGTTTGAATATTTATGTAGCAATCGTCCAAATATTGTTAGCAGTTATGTTGTTGAAGTACGTGATCATTTTCAAGGCTTAAAATCTGCTATATAGTAGACTATATAACTTTTTAAGAGAGATGTTTGCAATCACATAAATAGTGAGGAAGAAATTATGTAATGCTTATATGTCGATTTCAGAATGATGGTGAAGTAACTGATTTTATATCGTATTATCATTTATCATCGACAATAATGAATCATCCTCAGTATAAAACACTAAATGCTGGTTATTTATATTATCATGCTACCAGTAAAACACCATTAATTGATCTTGTTACCGATTGTTTAGTCACAGCACACATGGTATGTCGAACAAATACTAGTATTTCTCGAGCTTATTGTTTTTGTGTAGAAATAGTGCGAGTGATCGTACAATGAATTATTATTGTACGCACTTTGTACGGTGTTTTCAACTTTTAAAACCTGCTCTTTTATGAATCATTGTTTATTTCATTACTGCTCTCACTGAGGAGAAGAAGCAAAACAGTGACTGGTATCTTTGACATCGGTACTATTTAACCCTGAACATTATGTCAGTGATGTGCTATAGATGTCACTGTTGAATTATATTATTCAACATATAGTTTTTCATATAGTTCTTTTCTTTTAGAATGAGTTTGATGTATTTAATGCGTTAGATTTAATGGACAATAAAGAATTTTTAGAAAAATTAAAATTTGGCGTTGGCGATGGAAATTTACAATATTACATTTATAACTGGAAATGTCCTCAAATGTCGGCTGAAAAAGCAAGTGTTCAATTCACTATACACAAAACTGTTATTGTTGATCATTTGTTTACTTTCGTTTCATTTAGGTTGCTTTACTTTTACAGTAGTACGTACGTAAGTTGGTGCGTGAATTTCTTTAAAATTCATTTACAGACTATCCGTGTTAATCTTATTAGTATATGAGTGAGGCAAAAAAAGCCGGAAGAAGAACAAATGGCAAAAACTTCTCATTGTTCTTTACTTCTATTGTTTTTCTTTTTTTATTCGTTTCCTTTTTCTGTTGCTTTTGATTTGTTTTATTACAATTACTTTGTTTGATACATATTTTACGTAAAGACAATAAGGAGCAGTTGACAACAAAATATATATTGTTTTTATATAGTTTTTTGTACTTATTTGACAGAAAAATTTTTAGTCACGAATATATGCGTATTGGTTATAGAAAATAAACAGATATCTTTACGATGTGTGTTGAAGCAAGGGCTGTGCTCAGGCCGAATGACGATCATGTCTCCCAACTTATGAAAGCTCGATCTATTTTGAGCACTTATACTACTAATAAGATGCTATCATGACATCTTCTCTCCATTTGAAACCTATGGAAACAATTACATCGAAAATTCTTTTCATGTAAATAAGCCGATTGATTGAAATATTTTTACTCTTATCCTTTGATAGATTAACATTCGGTTGGGAATAACTATTTCATGTTATTCTATTATGAATTACGTTTCTATTTTACGTTCTGACTTCAGTTCAAATTGATTGTCGAGTCAAAGCATACAACGATGTCGAGTTCTTAAATTGTTATAGAAAAAGATATTTCTACAAACTTTTGACGACTTTTACAAGCACAAACGATGATATCAACGGACTTTAGTCTAGATTATATGATTCCTGCTTATAGTCTAGATTATATGATTACTATAATTTGGAATTAATTTCTGATTTATAGAAATCGATCTTGAAAATCGCCGTCGATTTTCTGACTTTTATAAATTCCCTGCCGATTTTTAGGCTTTCTCTCTCTGATTTTCTATTTTCTAGAAAATCCACTCGACTTTCTATAAATTGACTGTTCATTTTATTCAGAAAATCGCCATAGAATTTCTAAAAATATGAAAATTTGGCGTTGATTTTCTAATATTCTTGAAATTCGATCGATTTTCTATAAATAATTCGCAAGATTCTTGAAATTTCACATCGAATTTCTAAAATGTTGGAAAATCGGCTTCGAATTTCAAGAATATTGGGAATTATTTATAGAAAATCGACCTCGAATCTAGAAAATCCTCAGTGTATTTATAGATGGACTTTTTGAAACTCATCGAGCATTTTCTATAAATAATTTCAGACATTACAGTGTACAAACTTTTGACGACTTTTACAAGCACAAACGATGATATCAACAGACTTTAGTCTAGA